CTTGCTGGGGATAAGTAAAACACTCAACTCTTTGTCAACCGCGGATCCTTCCCGCCAATCTTGCCGTGTCGCCTCATAGTGCCCTTCGAGGGGTTTTCACTAATAAGACTCTCTTATTTCTCTCAAATCCCATCGCATTTTGGTGCCTGTGAAGGTTTTCAAACCAAATGGCATTACCCGGTAGCAATAAGTTCCCCACGGCGTAATGAAGGTTGTCTTTTCCGCATCTTCCTCATCCATCAGAATCTGATGATACCCAGCATAGCAATCTACAAAAGATCCAATCTCACGTCCGGCGCAATTGTCGATTAAGATATGAATGTTGGGTAAAGGAAAGTTGTCCTTTGGGTTTGCGCTGTTCAGATTGCGGTAATCGACACATACCCTGATTTTTCCATCTTTCTTTGGCACCGGCGCCACATTAGCCAACCAATTAGGATATCGAGTGACACGAATAACCTTTGCTTCCAGCTGCTTGGTTACTTCCTCTTTAATCTTCACACTCATATCCATTTTGAACTTCCTCAATTTCTGCTTGACGGGAGGGTATGCCGGGTCAGTGGGCAATTTATGAACCACTAAATCTGTGTTTAACCCCGGTATGTCATCATATGACCATGCAAAAACATCTTTGAACTCAATAAGTGTTTTGATCAATTCCTCCTTGATATTTGGTGCAATGTGGATGCTTATTTTAGTTTCTCTGATATCGCCGGCATCCCCCAAATTGATGGCTTCTGTGTCATTTAAGTTGGGCTTGGATTTTTCTTCAAGCTGGCTTAACTCCCTATTTATCTCCTTGAATGCTTTATCCTCATCGTATTCTGATTCATTGTCATAATCGATCTCTTGTATAGTTAGTTCGGAATCAGATTGATCTTTTAGACTAGGTTGAAGATCCGTTGTGCATGCCATGTCATTAGAACCAGTATGAAAAGAACTGTTCAGAAAAANCGTATTCTGATTCATTGTCATAATCGATCTCTTGTATAGTTAGTTCGGAATCAGATTGATCTTTTAGACTAGGTTGAAGATCCGTTGTGCATGTCATGTCGTTAGAACCAGTATGAAAAGAACTGTTCAGGAAAAAAGAAAAGAAAGAAACAAGAATTAAAATAAAAATAAAATAATGAATGAAGAAGAAACTTTTCATTTTATTGAATTATAGGATAACAAGGTTTCACACTTTGTTGAACAAAAATAAAAAGGAATCTGGATTACAACCTTGGAATAATCCAGAAAACAGAAAAGGAAAATCAGAGCCAACTACCAGGACTCCCTCTAAGTAGGAATGAGAGTAGCTGTCCAGTTGTTGACATTGGCTCTAGGCCCCACAAATTGTATGTCTGCCTTATTGGAACCCTCTCCAGTTTCTATTGTGTTGACCTCAACAAACATTCTTTCAAAGTCCTCATTTAAATCTCCATCTAAGAATAATAAACAAGTATTCTTGTTAAGGAGGTGTGACAGTGCTCACTCATGAAACCACATGTATGTTTTTGTTAAATTTTTATTATTCATCTTTTTATTTCATCATTGTATGTTTTTACTGTTTTGTTTTTTCCAATTTTTTAAAATATTTATATCATATATTTAACATAATATCATAAAATAAAAACTATTAGTCTATTATATATATATACACTAAAAGTTGTGTTGGATTTTTGTCTACAATGTATGTATTCCTTTATTATTTTTAATTAATTGAATTTTATAAAATTTTAAACATGTTTTATTTATATCTTAGTTTTTAAGTTTATAAAATACTAAAAGATTAAAGATGAGTCTTACGGGGATTTTTTTTGTTGTTACATATATTAGCTTAAGGAATTTGGCTAATAGGTTATGCATGAATTGCAATTGCATACATATGCAGATTCGTATACTTCTTTACCTACTAACAATTGACTAAGGTTTTGCTTTCCAGGGTTTATTACTACTTGACTCATGCTTAAACGGCTTCAAATATGAAAAATTCTTTATTACCTCAGATATAATTTTACTTCTTATTTTTGTTTTGAAATTCAATTTTGCTATTACATAAAATTTAATATTACTCCTAGAGATAAAATACTAGAATAAGAATTATATTTTAATAACCAATCTTAAGAATGACTTTAAAAGTTTCACTGCATGAGTTATCTCAAGACTATGAGTTTACAAATTATTATTTTTTAATCTCTTTTAGGCTACTTCTTGGATTAGTAAAGACTGATTTCTTATAATAATTCTAACAATTGTTATTTACCCATATTTTTATTCTTTTTTGATGACCGCGCGAAGTGCGGATAGATTTACTAGTAAATTCTATAGTCAATACGCCTTCACGTGTCAATATTTTGAAGACACAAAGATTCTATATGAAAAAAACACAACAGTTTAATATAGACAAAAAATCAATTTTTACTTCGTAGAAAAGGAAAACTAAAGATACAACAAAAAAAAAAAAAAAAAAAAAAAAAAAAAAAAAGAGGCCGAACTTACTAACCTGATCAAGAACCAAATGATCAGTACTGATGATTTGGTTGAAGGAAACCAACTCTAACTTGCGATAAGAGCACATGTAATAGTTTTATATGTTAGATTTTGACGTAGACTCAATAATAGATCTATCAATTCCCAATACAAAGGCAACATTTATATAAAATTTTATTTTCTGTTAAGGATTTATTGAGCCAAACGGAGAAAAAAAACTTCAAAACATCTAAAAATAAAAGAGTACTAATTATTAGAAAAATAATTAAATATCTAATCTTAAATATTAGGAAAATAATTAAATGCTTACTCCTAAATATTAGAGAAATAAGTAAATGACTATTTTGTCTAATGTGAAATCTATTTTTAATGGGTAAAAAAGCCGAACGACATTTCGCTAAGGGCCTTCGTGCTTTTAATATAGTATATAGATATAGATGATTTTTACATTGGATCGATCTTGTAATTAAATTATGATTTTAATCAAGCAATATCATATAAAGAGAGATTGAGCGTGTAGATCCTAAATGAAATTAAGGAAAGAAAAACTTTAACTGGTCTTTTTTTTTTTCCTCAAGGAAGCATTCACAACATGTTGTCTTGGAACAATAAGGTAAGTATTATAGTTTCTTATTTCTATATCAGTTCAGGGACTGGAAAATATGACACAGAACCAACTAGAATAATAAAAAGCAGCAAAATTTTTAGTCGTGGAAAGGTAACTATTCCAAAAAGTAATCAATTTATTTTTTTATTTTGGTCCAAAATAAGTGTCCATTTATATAATCAAGAAAAAATTCAATTTATTTTTTCAAAATTAATCTTATGGACGTATTCCTAAAAAGTCTTTTACTCCTCACATTAAATTATGTTGCAACATTTAATTAAGGATAGTTTAGTCACACTAACTATTTATGTCTAGAATTTAATATTTTCTTAATAGGTATACTCAAGACAAATTGGTCACTTGTTGTGGACCGAGGGGCATTAGTTTTGTTTGTCTTCTCCTCGATTTAGCTCCAAAAGCCCAAAAGTTTCCTAAGATGATTTGCCTTCATATAATAATCAATGAGCATTCTGTGCATTTTAATACGTCACTTTTACGTTTACTTTTAGCTCATTGAAAATCTCAATATTACCATAGCCCATAAGTAAAATGATGTTATTTCCAACCTTGGATGTTAAGGGGTTAACTAAATACTCATCTCTATTATTGTCTGATTAAGCTGAAATTTTATAATTGGAAGAAAAATAAAATATTCTCATACATGTTACTAGGTTACGTTGATTATTCATTGTACATTGAAAATTTTGCCGCATTGATTTAGGAGCAATGTTTGCTCCAACAACTTAAATAATATGGATCCCATCTAATCTTTCAGCCAGCTATTTTAATATTCTATTATGGTCGCTCATATGATACACAAGTTAATTTGATATATTAAGCTCTTTTCAAGTTAATATCATCACGTAAAATAGAACTATAGAGTATATCTTTACGTCAAAACGCTTTAACTAACTTCTTCAGTTTATCACAAAGGTGTGATAAGAGTGATAAAAACTTCTAAGAGTTCTACTAAAAATAAAGTCCTCTTTGATGAGGAACGCGTAAAGTGACAGTCCTTCAAATGTAAAAATTTATTTGCACACAACGTTTACATCAAATTATACTAATTAGCAAGGTTAAGTGATTTGATGAGGTAAAAATATATATGTATACGGTCAAAATTATATGCCTCCGATTTATAGGCTCGAGGGTCCGTCCTAGGCCCGACTTCAGGCAAGGTCGAGTTCGAGACCGATGGACCAGACTCGAGCTCGAAGACAGAGTGCAATGCCCAAAGATAGGAGTACAAGGAATATATCGAGGCCAAGTATGCTTGACCCCGAAATAGTACCGTTATGGATTTGTAACAGAATGAGCTAGATTCCTGCCACGTCCCCAAGATCATGACGCAAATCCCGGAATAGGATTGTACGATTCCGTACTAGGCGGTTAGATAGTTGTACCAAGAATATTCCTTACTGTAAATAGAAATATACATTATTTAGGATTTCTCTATTATATAAAGGGGACCCCAATCATTTTTAACATCATCTAATCATTGAGAAAAGAATATATTCTCTACTTTTTCGCCTACTGTTCATCAGAATTATCATTAGCTCTGATGTTCTTACTTTACTTTTCTTGCCTAATTGTTCTAAACCCACCTCGAGGTCATTAAGCTTGAGGTCACTACTGTTGAATAATATTGATTTGATTCACTTATTTATTTTATTTCTACTTCATATTTCTTGATTATTAATTGGTATCGAACTAAATCACATAACTTTAAAATCACTAATCAAATTTAATTATTACTCGTAGATAAACGGTATATATAAATTAACCTTGATTAACCGTGAAAAGTGTATATGCAAACATGTGATTTATCCTGAAACGGTGTCGTAGAAAGAGAGTAGCCCATGCAAAGGGATAAAATCCCAATATCAGAAGTCAGAACAGCTCATTTCCTTACTACTAGTCCACAAGACCACAACACTCGAGATTTACTTCCGCTACCCATTTTCTTGGCACTTCTTAAAAGTTTTTTTAATCAAAACCCGCAAATAATGAACCATCGACAGGTCATCTCCATGCATTTTCAGTCATCATTTAACTAAAAAACGTAACTCTTTAATCTTCATCTCTGAAAAAACAATACTCCTCGTTACAAGGTACAATTCAACAACTACAAGCAACAGCTATTTAAATACAATTTTATTTTCCCAACCCAGATTCCTAAGATATTCATTTTCATCTTTTCCGACTTCCGAGTTGCTACTGAGTCAGAAACCGAGTTCATCAAATTTTTTCAGCTATGGCATCACTTGGGTTGGCTCAACGAATTAGAATTGGACTTGATGGTAACTCGGGTGCTGAATTCCCTATGATGGGTCGGCCCCGTAGGTCCTTGAGCTCGAATTACGGTAGAAACCGAGTTGGGTTCAGAATTATGGCCTCAGCTGTGGAGCCCGATCTCAGCGTCACTGTTAACGGTTTGAAAATGCCCAACCCATTCGTTATCGGGTCGGGTCCTCCTGGGACCAACTATACTGTGATGAAAAGAGCCTTTGATGAAGGCTGGGGTGGTGTTATCGCCAAAACGGTAAATCTTTTCAACCTTACCACTTCTTTATTTTTACTGGTGGATCTAGTTCCAGTTGTTATCTGTTACTTCTACTTTTTGTTATAATTCGGTTAAATACGATGAGTAAATAAAAGAAGAAGCTAAATTGAGTTGTTGTTTGCAACTAACTTGGGATTATCCAAGTGAATCTAATGAATATACAGATCTTCTTTGTTAGTCCGTGTTGCTTCGATCATTCAAACTGGCAGCTGCACCAGTGTCGATCCTCCAAAAATACATTTTGGAGAATCCTATTTTTTGAGGATCCGACAGATGTGCAACACCGTTTTTGGAGGATCCGCTGTTAGGTGTTCTGAGATTGGAGATTATCTATGTAGGATCCTGGATCAAGATGTTTGGATTAATCATTCAGCAACTTGTTGCGTAGTTGTTCTGCATCTGCTAGTTCTACACCAAGTAAACCTTAAAACGATGTTATCACTGGAAAGTGAGATCAGTCAGCACTTTTTACTTTTAAAAAGATGTTTGTTGTCCACTGAAAGTTGAGATCAAAACTTTTTACTTGTAAGAATGAGAAGAGAGTACTATTATTGAAAATTGTTAGTTAACCACATATCAGAGTCTCCTACATAAAAAATTTAAACTATATGGAAGGAATGAAGCTTATTTTCCGAATAAAGTACATAATCGCTAATAAAGTTCTTAATGATTTATTCACTTTCGAGATGGTCCCTCAAATGAGTTGGTGACACAAATGCTGTTGAATATCTTATTAAGAAGCATGCCTTTCTCGTTCTGTTTTATGCCGAAAGCAATTCTTTTCCTCTTTAATCAATTTGTTTTCTTCACTCAGGTGTCTTTGGAAGCCGATAAAGTTAAAAATGTGACCCCAAGATATGCTAAATTAAGAGCAGGATCAAATGGTTCTGCCAAAGGACAAATTATCGGGTGGCAGAATATTGAGCTCATAAGTGATCGACCTCTTGAAACAATGCTGAAAGAGTTTAGGCAATTGAAAGAAGAGTATCCGGATAGGATACTTATTGCTTCTATCATGGAAGAGTACAACAAAGCTGCTTGGGAGGAACTTATTTACAAAGTTGAGGAAACTGGAATTGTAAGCATATGCGAAGACTTAATGAATAAAATTTTGTTCTGCATTATAGTAGTGTTGTCATGCTGATTCTCTTGAGTTGCTGTAACTGTCTCTGTATTGATTCTGTTTTACAGGATGCCATTGAGATCAACTTCTCATGCCCTCATGGTATGCCAGAACGTAGAATGGGTGCTGCTGTTGGTCAAGATTGCGATCTCTTGGAGGAGGTTTGTGGCTGGATTAATGCTGTAGCCACAGTTCCAGTTTGGGCAAAGATGACCCCTAATATCACCGACATTACAAAGGTATTTCGGCATGGCATTTTATAGCAAAGATGATAGATTACTTAAATGTCCAAAACATGATCCAATTTGGTCATAACTTCTCCTCTACATCATGCTGTACTCTTTCTGTATTACTAAAACATTCTCGCAATTAAAGCCAAAAGTAGGGGGGAATTGCATTGTGGGGCTTGTATATGCTGTTAGTTTTGTGGAAGATGGATTCTCCGTCTTTCCTCGCTAGATCAACCTGATGACGTGGCATAATATCTTTTTCCAGTCATTCCATCTTACAAGATTTGTGACCCCTTTACGTGTTTGGAGATTAAGCTCGGTTTGGTTGCAAGGTCCCTCTATTGCAGTTTCCAATCATAGAAAAAGGAATAATGATACGTTCTTTACCAATTTGAATGAAGTTGAGAATGATTGTTAACAGTGGCGTACGCAGGATTTTACATAAACGATGTCATAATATGAAGAAATGGACAAATGAATAAATCACTATAATCATAAGCGGTGTCATTTTCTATACATTACCCCAATATTTTCATTTTTCTTATAAATATCTAGTGAAAATTTTCGATCAAGCGGTGTCTCGTGACACCATATAGTATAAGGCGCATACGCCCTTGACTGTTAAAGGACATGAGAAGTGTGATAATTGTGTGTTCTTAGAGCTATCAGATGATTATTATTTTGGCATGTAAAAGGACCACCTTGGCTTAAAATAGTGTGACTTTTGTCATCATTAGTAATCTCAATGTCTGGAATAAACCATTTCACTAACCTTTCCTACTGTAATTATGTCCTCCCACTAGTTTGTTGTTCGCTCATGATTGACAAGTTATCAGCATTCTGTTGTGTAAGAATTATGTCTTCTGTGTCTAATTTCTGTCCCTTGGATTGTAGCCGGCTAGGGTGTCTCTTAACCAAGGGTGCGAGGGAGTATCTGCCATAAATACAATCATGAGTGTTATGGGAATCAATCTTAACACCTTAAGGCCCGAGCCTTGTGTTGAGGGGTTAGTATCTCTACATTGAGAAATATGCTGAATTCAAATTTTCTGCTTTTAATTATGATCCCTGGCAATTCATTTTCTACTGTTTGCCTCAGATACTCAACTCCTGGAGGCTACTCAGCAAAGGCAGTGCACCCGATTGCTCTTGCAAAAGTAATGAACATTGCACAGATGATGAAGTCAGAATTTGGAGATAAGGACTATTCACTCTCTGCTATTGGGGGAGTCGAGACAGGTGGTGATGCTGCTGAGTTTATTCTTCTCGGAGCAAATACTGTACAGGTCTGTTTGTGACTATACAAATTGGGGCAAAATCTCCTTGGCCTAAACCAAATTAGGACTTTTTCTTGTCCGCTTCCAACTTTTACTAAATAAAAATCTCTTCTGAGTTGTGATCTTAGTGACACTTCAGTAAAATGGGGAAGAGAGTTACTAAACTAGGCATTTCGAGCTAGACTCATGGGCAACTCCTTTTAATTTATTTGTTTGTTCATTTCTCTTTGTTTCTTTCTGTCCTTTCCTGCATGACATTATCTTGGAATGACAAATCTTTATTGGTTTATTATGTAGGTTTGTACCGGTGTCATGATGCATGGATATGGACTTGTGAAAACGTTGTGCTCTGAGCTGAAAGATTTCATGAGAAAGCACAATTTTTCGTCAATAGAAGATTTTAGGGGGTACTCTGCTCCACTCCCTCTCTCTCTCACACACACGCACACAAATACACACACACTGAGAGACACTAGATCCATTCAAAAGAAGAAGAAAGAATTAACGCTCAGCTGGAATATCAAGAACTAGGTTGCGTTATTTATTGTTATTTGTTTGGCCAAGTGGGGTTCATTCTAGTCCAACACGGACTTAAAACAAGTCAAAGAAAAAACTAGAATTTAACCACATTTAGTTCTTAACTCAAAATTAACCAAATCAATCACTCTCATACATTTGACTGGGTTCTGAACTTTTTTCCTATTAAATCCGCTTCTGTGGTTTCCTTAAGTTTGCCCAACACTTGACCTTTTCCATTGCTACTGTATAAAGTTATAACTAGCAAGGGGATTCTTTTGTTTATAATTTGGATATGTATTGCGTGCAGGTCGTCACTTGAGTACTTCACAACCCACACGGATTTGGTTAAAAGGCAACAAGAAGCAATACGCCAAAGGAAAGCCATTAAGAAAGGTTTACAATCAGACAAAGACTGGACAGGAGATGGTTTTGTGCAAGAAACTGAAAGCATGGTTTCCAACTAGACTTGTAATAAAACCTCTCAATGCACCTTTCTTCTCGTATTATAGATGAATAAATCAATCCCTTTCATATATCTGATCGGATTGGTGTATAGTGACTTTGACCTCTTTCTAGTTCTTTGCGTACAGTTCACAACCATTTTCATTTATTTATCGTTTAACTTGATTTAAAATACTTGTGTTGATGATGAAGAATCCCAGAATTCGTTTGGCTACTCTAATCATTCTCGTTTGTTATTGAAAAGGGAAGAGAATTCCGTAATGTTAAATCCAGCCAATAACTTCTTACTACCTGTCTTCATTACTACACCAATTAATTATACTCCTAATGATAAAAGCTCCCGAAACCTTAGCAATTTAATTATGAATTCTAATTACCAATTAGCAGTTCGTCTATGTTACACCAGAAGAGCCATTTTACAATTAGATAATTCCATATAATTATTCTATACAAAATGTATATTTGGATACTTTCTTTTTCCTTTTTTTTTCTCATATAGGAGAAAAGATATGGATCCTTACTGGATTCATGTTAAATAAAAAATACGAAATGCTTTGCGTTTACATGTTTTTAGCCTACACAAGCTATTCTCGTTTAATTAACGTATGCATGATACACTAAACTAGCACCCTCTATATCGTGTTTGATTAATATTCCTCATTGTGGAGGCTAAAAGCATGTGCGGACCCCACCCACATGGAGAGGTGAGGGGTCACTGGCACCTTGAAACCCACGTATATATCATTGTATATATGTCGAGGCCCTATAATAACAAAATGGTGCCCCTAAAAGAACAAAACGCCCGATGGTTGCACTGGTTCAGCCGGTTGTTTAAGTTACATTCTCTCACTGCCAGACCTAGGATTGGGACTGTTACACCCCATTTTTTTGTACGTGAAAGTATGTCGTAAGTATGTAAGCTCGGAAACGAGATCTTCTTTGAAAGTATATAAAGTGATTTAATATTGTTACATCCCGTACTTCAGACGTCACTCTCATTATAGGATTATCTAATGTAAACTCAAAAAGGACGAAATCCTTCTACAAGGATAAGAAAGGTTTACTGAAGTCTTAAGCAAGTTAAGATGAATATGAGGCTTGTTAATCATGATTTAAATGAGTTTAAAGTCAAGATATGACTATATATGACGTTTGGATATGAAATATAAAGTTTGAGAAAAATCGGATTTAAGTTGCGGAAAAACCGACTAAGGATTTGCCTTGTAATGAAGCATTTTGAGCAATATATTTAATGTATTATATGAGGTCGTTTTGGGATATATTATATACCAAAATGAAGCTCTTGGAACCTAGTTTCCAATGGTCCAAACCATTTATTCATACGACATTGGGGTAGAGAAATATGAATTTATATAGTAGGTCGCCAAGTCACGTCGCCGCACATCGGAGAAAATGGCAGTTTTATAGGCCAGTTGCGATGCAGTTTTCTCCCAATCTATTGAGAGTTACATGGAGATATTTATATGGAATTAAAGCCCTATGTGTCTAGTTTCCAACACTGCAAACCATTTGTCAATACGATGTCGGATTAGAGAGATACAAGCGTCCCAAGTTGCACCGCTCAAGTTGCCAAGCAGGCAGCTTACCCACCTACTTGGAGAATTGAGGCGGTGGGCTTATAAGTTATCTTCTCCCTTGTATATATCGTCATTATACACAGAAAACTTACACCAAAACACTCTCAATTCTCTAAGAGTTGGTCCAAGATCTCAAGAACCAAACTAAAGGGAAATCATCTCAAATCATCATTAAAGGTGTTAAAGGCTACAAGAGAATGCTTCTATGATGTTGTGGTGTGATTGAGGGCTATTGTGAGATAAGTTGAGATAGGGTTTCGAGTTGTACATGTTGTCCAAGGTATGTATAACATCTTCTTGATTGTGCCTAAGGCTAATCTTGTGTTGGTTGTGTTGTTTAAGTGAAAAACCATAAGATAGCACTTGAAAAAACATGAGATATGGTTGTCTCTTTGGTTGGGCTATTTTGTGGCTAAATATATGGTTTGTGGTGGCTAAAAATTGTAAGAAATAATTTGATAATGTTGTGGCTGTTGTTAAGCTTTTCTAGGTGTTAATTAAGTTGATTGAAGAAGAAAAGATGAAAAACAAGTGATTGACGATAAAAATTAAGGTGCTAGACGTATGGGGCTATTTTGGAAGGCATTTTGTGGATGTTTTAAACTAGAAATAATGGTACATATAAGTACGATGTTCTGAAGGTTGTAAACTAATTTATAAAAAAGAGTTGGATTCAATTCATATCTTGTTATGAGTAAAAACGAGCTTGCCACTCAATATGATTGTTAAGATAATCGGCGAAACTCATATTGGATTGCATTGTTGTTGTTGCTATTGTTGGTTATAGTTGTAGTTGTTGGATTTTTGATAACCCTTAGTGGCCTTTGGGATGTATTAAAAATAGGGGAGGTTCTGCCCGATTTTCCTTAAGCCATACGACTAGCCAAATATGATGGTACGACATTATATGTTAACAGCAATATTATTCCATTTGTTGTAGATGCAAGACATTGTGTCGAGTTTGGTTGAGTAATAAGAAAAATATCATGCAGGTATGTTACGGCTATCCCTTCTTTCTTTTTGGCATGATCTAACTGATACAAACGAAACGAGCAAACGCACATCGTTCATAAATAACTCTATTCATAGAAGTATTAGCGGTGCATATGATCTTGAATTCCCATGTGTCTTATTATTATATCTTCTGTTCATGGGTCTCAGAAAAATACGTAAGTTGAAAAACAGTTTATTTCATGATATTAATCAGAGGTATAATGGTCTTATGACGTTCCGAGAAGTTTTATTAANATTGTGCCCACAGAGGCCGAGATGATATGATGGGATGCCCTCAGATGCTTAATGATGATATGTACGCATATACTTATGCATGATATGATATTTATATGTACATGCATGATATTATAAATATTTTATGATTCACAAAGCTACTAAGACTTACAGGTTGTGTACTTACTCCATTTTTCTTTCATGTCTTTTATATACTACTTTTCATTCCTTACATACTCAGTACATTATTTGTACTGACATTCCTTTTGCTAGGGACGCTGCGTTTCATGCCTGCAGGTCCTGAAAGACAGGTTAACAGTTCTCCTAGTAGGATCAGCTCAGCGAATGCACTCCACTTTCTCCGGAGTTGCCTATTTGATCAATATGGTTTTGGACATGTATTGACTGGTATGGCAGGGCTCTGTCCCGACCTTTATGATGTTTATGTACTCTTAGAGGCTTGTAGACAGATGTCAGATATATAGATACTTGTATGGCCTTGTCGGCCTACGTTTTGAGTTTACAAATAATTATGTCAGCCTTATAGGTCCATATGTCACATGTATAAGTTTGTATATCATATGTTGGGTCATCTTATGTCTAGTACTCTCTTATGTTTTATTCTAATTATCTCATGACGGCCCTTTTGGCCCATTTACCAATGATAGTACAATAAGATAAATATGTTATGTTGGTACTTGGTTGAGTAAGGTATCGGATGCCCGTCGTAGCCCTTCAGTTTGGGTCGTAATAGAGACCCAATGTTGGTATTATTTCACCGTTCCCTTTTTAATTGAACGACAGTTTAGTACTCCATATTTAGTAGTCAACTTGGTTTCTTTATTTTTTAATTCAAATATTAATTTAGTACTTGTACATAGATGTCACTTAGTTTAATTTTTTTTCTTTTAAAATCTCTCCATCTAATCTCCAAAACTCAACTTCTCTTCGTGATTAGTTCTTCATATCTTCTACACAAAATAGTCAAAAACTCTATTAGAGATACATCTTTCTATACTAAAAGTTAATAAAGAGACATAAAAATAATGATTAAAGACGGTAAGAAAGGGGATAAAATATTTCTTTAGCTAGTTCCATTAGTCAATAATCTTTATCTCTAACCAACTTGTATTATTATTTCATTTAGAAAAAATAAAGACACAAAACCCTTCTCCCTTCAACGTTTACTTTGACAAAGTAGCAAGTATTCGTTGACTTTGCGACGTCGATTGAGACTTTTTGGACTACTTACAGACCTTTATTAGTTTTAATTTTGTTTAAGTTTTTTATAATTTTGAACATCACGCCAAACTTTATTGCAATAAATATTATTTTCATATTTATATTAAAGGTAATGGTGTCCCTGCAAATTTCGAATCCTGGGTCCGCCTCTGGCTAACCGTATCTTGACGCAGACAATCTGTATATTCCCGTTAGTATACCCACGTTAGTCTACTTCAAATGGTAGTATTTTTTTACCTTAAATTCTAAAAAGGTTGTCACACAAATCAAATTGCTGCATAACATTCCTTGTATGTTAAATTATATTGCATAACATATTATATGATGATAAGTTTTGTAAAGACGGAACTAATTATACCACAATATGGCGTGGAGAGGCGGAGAAGAAGTGGAAGCTCCTGAATTCATAGTGTTGATTATACATAGTTGATGAATTTTTAAATCTTTAGCTTGCCTACAACATAAGCAATGTGCTTACTGCCCGTGAAGTTTTCCTCTTAGCTCACAAATTTCCTCACCAATTTTAGATATGTTATTTTTTTTTTCCCAATTGATTGCAATTTCTCATGTGATGATTGATCAGAAGGCCTCGAATGAGGCTATTTTTAAAGGCTAATAAGGGGCCAACCAGAAGAAATCAAAGAATAGTATAAAGTGAAGTGATGCTTATTAAATCGGGTGACCACTTAAATGGCATTGTATTTAGAAATCGGTCACTTCTAAAAAATAAGCACTTATGCCTCATTTGTTTGCATTTAATGGAGGTCTAAATCTTAATCATTCAGATCTCAGACATTAAGTGCGTTTATTTTTAAAGTCTGAATCTTAATTATTCAGATCTTAATCATTAAGTTTTTTTTACTTTACAACCACTTAATGGGTCTGAATAGGTCTGTATGATTAAGATCTATAACATAGACTTAATTTCATTGAGATGCTATCACATATTCATTATTAACTGCCACTGCCGCCACCGCCTACCATTATCAACTACCACCATGCCGCCGCCACACTCGTACTCAACCACCACTACCACCACCTTCACCACCACCACGCCACCATCATCCTCAATCATAGCTGCCACCATTATCGACCATCACC